AAACAGAGTTTTGTCTGAAATGAAAAGTTTCTAAATCGTCTAAACTAAAGCGAGAGCAGCAGCTCAGTCAGAACAAAGACGCATTGTGACAGATTAGAAGCTAATCTGAGGAGCACGGTGAGAATGTTAAACACCTCACATTTCTTCTTCTTTTGTTCTGTTTGACGTGCTCGACCCTTTATTTCTACACAGGACAAAATAAATAACTTGAGGACTGAACCTGCAGTAAATCACAGGATGATGCTGAACAGCCAAGAAGCTGTGGAGGAGCCCGGGAACATTACTGATCACTGCCCAGCCGCACTCAGCCACCTCTGACCTCCAGGCCAAGGTCACTGGGATTCAACCTCGCCCCAGATTGTTAGTCGATGCACCTGTGGTATCAACTTTGAACACCTGAGCTGAAAGCATTCACAGACTTGTCCAGGTTGTTCCCCTGGACGCCCAGCCGAGTCCCCATCCCATAAAAAGCTCATCACATCCTCAACTCACCGGCTGAAGGAGATACTGGTGCAGGCTGAACAAAGACTGGTTCAGTGCCAGTGTGGGCCAGTTTGATGAGCTCTCGGGACATTAAAGGAACAGTTAAACATAGTTTAAGGGTCAGCGGGTTTAAAGTTCAGCGTGTTGGATGTGAGCTGTTGCACATTTGTCATGTCTTCTCTCTCTGAACTGCAGGTTTACACCAACTTCATCTACAGCCCATCAGCCATGTTGCAGATAATAGAGAGTAAAAGGATTTCACTCCTACAACAGCTCCAACTACAGGTCACGATCAGTCGCATAACCGAGAAAGCAGAACAATGAGTCACTGCACTGACATGAACATGTGTTATGATAATGTGTTCAGGTTATGAGGAGCTATTTTCTACTTGGTTTGTATGAAAAAAACAAGGGGTACAAGGGTCACACACACACCTTTTTGCAGCCAATAACCTGCTGGGAGCAGCAGGGAGCATCGCGTCAGCCAGAGCCTCGTACCTTCCAGCACCTGGCTCGGCTCGAGTACTTACTGTGTCAACAAAAACAAAACACCTGTGCCGGCTTCACGTCAGCAGCACAGAAGAATCCATCCCATGATGATACGCCAAACAAACAGACTTAAGGAAGCTCTGCAAAGCCAGGTGTGCTGACTGAACCTGCTCAGCAGCATACAGGATGTTAAACAATAGCAGGAGACTTCCAGTAGCTGCAGCTCATGCTCATCATTCACTTTTGCAGCCAAACCTGCCAGACCTGTCTGACATTTGGCAAACAAGCTGTTCCACCAGCAGGACACCTGAACCCCCACCAGGAGCCTGCTCCTCCAAACCTCCAGGTTCCACAGATGCACCCGTAGATAAAGACCTCCACCTGGACAGCTTTCCCCTCCAGTCAGCTAGAAAACAGCCTGCTTTCAGTGTAGCTGGTTATTTTATTTTCCTTTTAAATGACTCAGTGATATCCTGACATAATCGTGAGGTTAGAAGTTGGTTTTTCTTGCTCAACAACCACAAATAAAACAGATCTGATTAGGACGTGCTCATCAATCGTTTGTTAGCCCACAAACATCTTATGTTTATTCCTCTCTCGCACACAGACGTCGACATGAACGTGATAAAGAATTCTGTGCACTGAAAAACTAACTTGTGACAGATCATAAAGTCTGTAATCGAGAAGCTAAAACACGAGAAACACTCGTCAGAGAGCCGGGTGTTACAAACGACTCACCTGCAGTTTGGTGGAGGGTCCAATGTGATGTCAGCCAATTCCTTCTGAATTCTGCAAAATCAGATCGGAGTCAGTAAAATGTTACTGCAAAGAGGAACGACGACAACCAGAAACGAAGCTACTCTGCAAAAATCACCACAAACCGACGCCTGTAACGGTCACGCCAAACTTTCCACCTGCCAGCTTATCTTGTGTGACATCACAGGCGCCCGTGGAGCTCTCCCACTCCACCCACTGCACTCACCTCTTAGCACTGGTGGACAGATGTTTGGAGGTTTTGCTCATGCTGGCTTTACTGTCCCTTTTCTTTGGGGGGTTCGCCTCCTGCTGTTGCTGCTGATGGGTCGAAGAGGAAGAAGAGGAAGAGCTTGTGCTGGCACGGGAATCTTCATCCGACATACCGAGCCTGGGAAATGAGCATTCATTTTAAAATGACATTTCAGGACTCTGACGTGTTAAATCCACCTACTACAGCTGACACTGTCCACTAGCATGTCCACGGCTGCCACTGAGTTCAAGCTCTAACTGCACTGAAGCATAGAAACGTTCATAGGATTCACGCGTTAACTGTCACAGGTTGGCGTTTTCTATCTATGTAAAGCTATAGTGTGCAGCCATGGCTGCCTCCATCACATTACAGGCCTGGAGCGACACTGGCCGAGTAAACTGGTTGGACTGGTTTAAATCCTCCGCATGTGAGGAACCCTCTGTGACCTGAGCTAATGTTGGCTGTTGTTTTTAGCTGCGACAAAGGAAACTGATGGAGCCGTCGTGCCCGGCTCTGGTCAACACCAGGGACCAAAACACCACCTCACACCGACCTGTGAGCGGAAAAGCAGAAACGCATCGGCGGGGCGATGTCGCAGTCGAACCCCGATGCTACACCTCAACGAACTTTCGGATAAAGAAGCCAGGAAGCTGCTTCGTCTGTCAAGCTGATCTCAGGCCTCACATTACGACGTCAGAAAGAAACAAACAGAACCCGCCGTTCGCTCAAAGCTTTTCCTCGCGTTTTAAAGCTACATCCGTCGACACTGACCCAGCCACAGGATGCGCACAGTCCTAAACTCTCCTCTGACGATTAAAGCGCGCCTTTGTCAAACTAACGCCCCCCGCGACATACACGCGACACACAGCGTTACAATATTACGAGCCGTTACACAAATATCTCCTGTTAGATACCTTTCTTTGTGTGTGTGTGCAAAGCCTACGCGCGTGTCCCTCCGCCGCCTGACTTCACTCGCCGCCGTCAGGTTCACGCGCTACAGTACGGAAACGGAAACTTCCGGCCGACGTCTACAAAATAAAAGCACATTAAACTCATGGAAATATTTGGTCACACACAATGACTGTAGAAAACACACGAAAAGGCTTCAGCACAAGAACAAGATAGTACATATTTATCCTTAAAAGTATAATATCTTATATGACCTTTTCAAAAATGATATTA